AGCAAAATTTTAATCCATGCTGCTGTGGTCAAAATTGACTTTTTTGTATTCATTTAATGAATGTACTATATTTTAGTTCAGTAATGTTTTATGTTCTTACATTTATTGAATAGTTATGATTAATTTATTATCTGTTAACCACATTTTGAGCATAGACCTGAAAATTACATTTCCAACTTAAATTGTTGTAAATCTTGAATACTTTGAAGCACAGACATAAGTTTGGTCTCTTTTTAAAGAAGACACTGGGCAGCGTATTGCTGTGAAAAGTAAAAATCGTTTTCCAAAACATGTCTTACACTAAAACTGTGTGAAAATATAAACAAAAATGTAAATTTAAACAACTCATGTTCCAAATTTGAGGTTGACATGTCAAAAAAATAAGCTTTCAATAAGATTTTGTTTGGGTGAAGGATCAAACATTTGCACTACATAAAATTAATTTCCCATTTGTTTCCAATGTGGTCATTTCTGAGTGTGACTATTTTTTTCAGGACCATTTAATCCTTTCAAATCATGTTCATGATTTTTTGTGTTCACAAAACAAGTGCCATTCTGACCATTCTGATGAAGGAAAAATTAGTCTTTACACTACATGTAAAATAGTTCAATCAAAAATGACCAAACAGCACCAGAACCTACATAATACAATAGAAAGCATTGCTGATTTAGAATATAACACTTAAAACAAAAATTTAAAACAATACTCACCCGCATATCATTCCAAACCTCAATGACTTTCTTTCCTCTGCTGACCACAAAATAAGATATTTTGAAGCATGTTGGTAGCTAAACAGTTCCATTGACTTTCCATGTGGACAAAATACAATGGGAGTCAATAGGAACTAAAGCTGTTTGGTTATCAACATTCTTTAAAATATTTTCTTTTGTGTTCAGCAGAAGAAGAAAAAAATGTATACAGGTTTGGAACAACATGAACACAATTTAAATTTTTGGCTGGATCATTCCTGTAAATAGCAAGTCAAGCACGATAACACATTCATCCTGAAGATGGCAATATAAACACATTACTGTGCCATGATATGACCTCAAAAGAACCACTCAAATTGCAGAGTTACTGGGGGAAAAAACAAAGCTTTTATTCAGTCACAGAACACTTTTTTCGCTTCATCAGTGTCTCTTTTGTCTTTGTCACTATTAAGCAACGATGGCTTACTGGGCATGCATTGTATTCATGGTTGTCCTTAAGTATGGTAAGAATCACAGATATATAAGGAGAACTTTCCTGTTTGTTGCATTTCAATTTAAAAGTCACTGATAACATGCTTATTTGAAATGCATTATGTTATTATGCCTTAACAGGATGCTTTGGCGAGGACACTGTTAATCAGCCAAATGAGAATATAGCTGGCGCTGAAGGACAGCAGGTCACAATTAACTGTGAATTTAAAACACTTCAACCAACTCCATACCTTTACTGGTACATTCAACACTCTAATGGCCCTGCGTATGTGTTGATGAGAAACAAATTTGGATCAAGCAACAGTTCTGAATTTGAAGAGAGATTTGATGCCCGATTGGACTCAAATTCAGTTCCACTAACAATCAAGTATCTGCGTGTGTCTGACTCTGCTGTGTACTACTGTGCTCTGCAGCCCACAGTGACTGAAACACCTCCAAACAATGCACAAAAACATGACACCGTGATATGCAACATATCTTACATGTCAGTTAATCCACAAAAAAACGATTAAAATCTTGCTGGTTTTAAAGGCAGTATGTATGTGCTTCATTCAGCACTACTTTCCTTATACAACATTTGATTAATACACTACAACCCATTCAACTATCTGCAATGCACTTTCACATTTTAAAGCCAGTCAAAATAAACAGAGATATAGATGCAAAAACTATTTTACAAACTAGTTGTATTTCCTTATACTCCCTTGTGAAATGTGAAATGAATGGCACTCTAGAGTAATAACTCTCACATAAGACTTACATGCTTAAAGGAGGAGGAGTAAAAAGCAGCTCTCCAACATTAAGACAAGGATCTTCTTGTTTCAGTAAACCTGTACTTTTTTTCCTGACTGGCAAAGCATCATGTCAACATTTGCAGTAGTCCTATTAATAGAATCTCTCCTAATAGGTAAGATTTCCACTAATTATCACTTTAAAGTGGTTTCCGTGTATGCAATTCAGAATTATGATTTTAAAACATGGTCATTGCCCTCCATATTTTTTTCAGGTGTTACTAATGCTGAAGACATCATATTGCCCAACAATGATACAGTAATTGCTAAAGCAGATGAAAAGGTTACGCTATCTTGTAGCTACACAGGCACGGTTTACGATTTATATTGGTACCGTCAAATCCCTGGATCAGCACCTCAGTTCCTCATAATAGAATCGTCTGGATTCATAACACATGCTACTCCTCAGGTTCCTGGGATAACAATGTTCAACAGAAAAGACACAAAACGCATGGAGCTGGAGATCTTCCCTGCTGCAGTGGCATATTCTGCTCTGTACTACTGTGCTGTGAGGCCCACAGTGAAAGGAAATCCTCTGACTTCATACAAAAACCACAGCGATCCTCAATTGCAAAACAGATATACTGAAATATTTATCACCTTCTTTCTATAGATAGAAAAAGAGTTAACTCATTTTGACTCCCTATTTATTTGTGATTATAGTTTGAGTGTCAAGACATTCCATGATGGTAAAAAACAAGTTGGGATAACAGGTCTATGCATATTTGCATTCTTATTTTATTCTATTTATTAACAGGTCCTTAAAATACGCTGTTTATAGGTTGCAAAGCTTCTGTTCAATAGGTAAGTCTGTAAACAGTATGTAAGTAATATTGTACATAATACAAAGTGTACATTATTTCATAAGCTAGAACTTGTGAGAATACACAAACACTTAATGCTCACTGCATTTAATTGAGGTGTACTAGTTTCCAAATAAAACCTGAAATCCTCCTATTTTCCTTTTAGGGTGGTTGGCTTTGTAAGCTGTTCTTGACAGATAAGATATAGCAAACATTTTGCATTCTCCAGTTAATACTCATGAAACAGTTAATAATTGCTTCCAGCCAGTCATTACTGCAAAATTGTCCCTGATCAACAAAACCAAAGGATAGAGTGTCAAGATTATTTTATGATAATCATAAAAAATTATATTCACTCCCTTGGTTTCAGATACGACCTCAATGAGCATTCAAATAGGCTAGGAGCAAGTTACTGTACAGCTTGTTTTGTGGACAGTAACGTTAATATGATCATTCTTATTTAGGGAAAGCAAATTTATTCAGATTTTATGGATATTTTATGAGTCTAGGAAGCATGCAAACATTTCATTAGCTAATTTAGTGCAAATATAAAATAAGGGTGATTTACAAAATAGATTATATGTTTTACTAGACAAGCACACCAGACCAATGTTTGTGTTTCCAAGTTGTACCAGCAGAGGCAGACGTGTTAAAATGTTCTTGAACTTGAATCCAATAGAAAATAAGAACAAAAGATCAGAGTTCATAGAAGAGGCCCATAGAACCTTCAAGATTTGAAGACTCTGTGGAAGAATGGGCCAAAATCACACCTGAGCAATGCATTCCACTAGTTTCTCCATTCGGGAGGCGTCTTGAAGCTGTCATGACCAACAAAGGCATTTGAACAAAGTATTAAATACATTTCAGTAGTTCAATACTTTTCGCCTGTGTCATTCCATTTTATAACATGTAACTTAATTTCTGAAATTATTTGTTTTGTTTTATTTGTATGTATGGATTACTTGGGTTGTTACCGACATCTGGTGAAAATTTCATGTCAGCAGCACCTTTTGAAATATATTTACTGGGAAAATGGTGACGTGTTCAATACTTATTTTACCCGCTGTATACAAATTTAAGTAGCCTATATAAGTCATTCCAAGAAGGTGGGCTCCTAATGAATTTTGGTTACGTGTTTACATTTAAAAGTATAGTATACAGTGGAGAAAAAAGAACCCGCCCATTGCCAACTACCCGCCGCTGTGGCTTAACCTTAACAAAGCAAGGCATTTACCTGTCAAGCCGAAAAAAGAAAGATCTGCATCTGTTTCCAAGCGCTTTGAAGTCTCCTGTAGCGATGGGAAGCTTTACCGATGTCCACTCTTGTCTTGCTTTGAGACCTGTCGCTTTTTGCTCTTTATAATCCTCCTATTTTCCTTTTAGGGTGGTTGGCTTTGTAAGCTGTTCTTGACAGATAAGATATAGCAAACATTTTGCATTCTCCAGTTAATACTCATGAAACAGTTAATAATTGCTTCCAGCCAGTCATTACTGCAAAATTGTCCCTGATCAACAAAACCAAAGGATAGAGTGTCAAGATTATTTTATGATAATCATAAAAAATTATATTCACTCCCTTGGTTTCAGATACGACCTCAATGAGCATTCAAATAGGCTAGGAGCAAGTTACTGTACAGCTTGTTTTGTGGACAGTAACATTAATATGATCATTCTTATTTAGGGAAAGCAAATTTATTCAGATTTTATGGATATTTTATGAGTCTAGGAAGCATGCAAACATTTCATTAGCTAATTTAGTGCAAATATAAAATAAGGGTGATTTACAAAAAAGATTATATGTTTTACTAGACAAGCACACCAGACCAATGTTTGTGTTTCCAAGTTGTACCAGCAGAGGCAGACGTGTTAAAATGTTCTTGAAACATACAATTGACTGTTGTCTATTGTTAGACACCATATATTATGTTAAGTGATGGTTGAGGTTTTTTTTCTTTAGAGAGATTAAAGATTTTATTTAACATTTTATTTATTTTATCTAGTGAGTATTCAGTAGTATGTAAATTCAAGTGCAGGGATTGTCACAGTTTGGTGTTGAAGTTTGCTGTAAAAGATTCAAAAGGATGACTGTGTTTTAATGGGAGTGCAGGATTTAGGGGAGGTGCTATCTGCAGACATCCTCTGCTACACAGTGAGGGTTTGCTGTCTAACATTCTGTGCAGCAGATGAACTAATCCACTGCAAAATGGTGCTCATCTCTTTGCTTTTGTTCTGTACTCTTGCATGTAAGAATTCTTTATTTATTTTCTTACATTATTATACATTATATACATTGATTTTACATTCTATTTAATTGTATTTTTTTCTTTTTTGGTTTCTTGTGCTTTTGTATTTCATGACAATGGAGTTATTATGGAATCTTATTTACAGATGTCAGCTTTGGGAATGTCATCACACCAGTCCAGCCTGAGGTGTTTGGGACAGAGGGGGACAATATAACTCTGTCCTGTAACTACTCTTCAGCAGTTAGTCTGCAGTGGTATCGCCAATATCCAAACTCAGCTCCTGAATACCTTTTGATAATACTACATAGGACAGGGAAAGTTTCACAGAAGTCTAAAATTGTAGAACAAGATCCTCGATTCTCTGGAAAAGTGAATGAAAAGAAAACCCATGTGGATCTGGAGATCTCCTCTGCTAAAGTGACTGACTCTGCTCTGTACTACTGTGCTCTGACGCCCACAGTGACAGGAAACACAACGACACTGTACAAAAACCTGACTTCAAGTTAATCATCTAGTGGGTTAATTATTAATCATCCAGGAAATTTCTGCACACATTTGTTTTTGTTAGCTTAAAAAAATCAATAAAAATAAAAATGTGTAACTTGCTAAAAAACATTTCTTATATTTTGATATATCATTTAAGGTAGTTTTCTGTAGAACCTATAGAATTGTATCTGAGAATGCATTTTGTTTATACCTCAAATCAAAAGAAAGAAAACAATGTAAAAGTGTCTAAAACATATTTACCATTCAAGAAAGAACATTATTTCAAAATAAACATGCTGTTCTAAACTCCAACAGAAGGGGGCAACATAATCTCATGTCATGATTCACAAGCATTTCCCTGATGCTCACCCTTGATGATTAAGAAGTGCTATCAACATTTCATTTTAAACACTGAATGGAGTGTTGAGTAATGATTATTAAAGTAATACCCTGGTGAAAATATATATTTTTACGTGCTCTGTGTAATTATGATAAAGCAAATCCATTAGACATATAGATAGATCTATTTGAAATGCAGTTAGATGGTAAGGGTAAATGATTAGTGATATACCGAAGCTCACAGATCATGTTTAAGTTTCTCCCACATTATTAGTACACAATAAAGCTTCACTTGTACCAGTGTATTCAGTCACCCATTAGCTACTCTCACATATTTATTCATTTAATGAAGCCACATTCAGCAGAATTTATTACTTACAACCACTTTCATTTGCAGGTTCCAGAGCCTCAGAAGTCATCACTCCAAATAGTGACAGAGAATTTGCTCTTGAGGGTGACAATGTGACACTCTCCTGTAACTACAGCAGTTCTGCTCGCGGTGTTCACTGGTATCGGCAATACGCAGGATCACCACCACAGTTCCTCATACTGGAAGATTCAGGGGTTACAATTCAAGCTAATCCACCCGTTCCAGGAATAAACATCAAACACAGAAAAACAGAAAGCCATGTGGATCTGATCATCTCCTCTGCTAAAGTGTCAGACTCTGCTCTGTACTACTGTGCTCTGGAGCCCACAGTGACAGGAAAACAAACTACACTGTGCAAAAACCTGTATTTCAGGAAAGTATAAAAGCATACAGGATATTTCTACTGACATTTTATTATATGTATTTCATGTTTATTTTACACAACGTTATAAAATAAAATGTATTAAATAGTCTTCATTTGAAACTTAAGCAACATGAACATTGTTTCTGCAAATCTTGATAATTAGTTACAGAACCCCCATTTCTGCCTAACATGCATGTTTATAATCTATATCATGTTTATATTAAATAGTATCCCCCCAAAAAATGCATGTCACTGAAATATGTTGTAGCTTGTCATTTATCTAGCTATCTATATCTATTTATTAATATTGTTTATTTTATTCAATATGTGGAATTGTGTTCAATAACATTTCATAATGTATATTGTGTGAGATGAGGGCTGGATGTTGTCAATCTGAGTAGGAGGAGTTTAGCACAGATGTTGTACATTAGTACTGTCAGCATTTCACAAGCCTCTTTAGATCATCTGATGTTCCTGTATCTGCTGTTCACAACTGATTATTGTGCCAAAATGTTTATCTATGTAATTATATTACTATCATCAGCTCCAGGTAGGGTATTACTGAAATTAGGTATATACTGAAACATTCTTAAAAAGGTGATGAAAACATTTTAGGATAAAACCATTATTATTTTTTTTATATATATATAATTAATGATTCTCTTACTGAAACAAGAACCTGGCTTCTCAGACATGCTTTTTTAGTTAACCAAGCTAATAACAACATTGCATTATTAAGCATATACATTTTTTTGCATTTGAATTGAGAATGCACATTTGAAAGAGGAGTTATATTTTTCTTGTCTTCTTTTTGTTCTTTAAACTTAAAATGTACACTTTAAATGCAGGTTCCAGAGCGGCAGAGGTCATCACACCATACAGTGCTTTGCAGTTTGCTGTTGAGGGTAACAGTGTGACACTCTCTTGTAGCTACACTGGTTCTGTTCGAAGTCTTCACTGGTATCGTCAATACTCAGGTTCACCACCAAAGTTCCTCATCCTAGAGTCCTATGGGACAGTTACTAAAGCTGATCCTCCAGTTGCTGGAGTCTCAATCTATCACAATAAAGACAACAGTAATATGGATCTGAAGATCTCCTCTGCTGCTGTCACTGACTCCGCTCTCTACTACTGTGCTTTGGAGCCCACAGTGAAAGGAAATCCACTGCATGCTGTACAAAAAGCTCTTTAAATAAAACTGAACGTGAGAGATGAGGATGAGGTTTATGTTTTTTTTTTTTAATCACACAGATATTTATTATAAAGTTCTTATATTAGTAGATCCTTAAGAAACTCTCATACTGTGAAAATATTCTGTGGCTGAAAGTGGAAGACAGATTATTACTTTTATGAGGACATAAAACGTGTTATATGCATAACATGTGTGAGCCAAACAATGATTGTAATTAAAACTAATTGTCAATAAAATTAATTCAAAAACATTTACCATTTTAGACGGCACATTTTAAAGCACCGGGTAAAGCAACTGCACAAAACATGCTGTTCTGAGCTCCAACAGAAGGGGGCAACATTATTTCACAAGCTGTTTTATTCACACTAAACAAGCACCTGATGTCTATAAGAAACACATTTGAAGGCACAGAACGTGTTTCATATCTCACTAACCCACAGCCACATTATTCATACACAACAGAACTTCACTCAGTTCTCAGTGCTTTCATTCAACCATCAGCTACTCTTATATTTGTATTCATTTTGTAAAGCCACATTCAGCATAATTTGGAACTAACAAATTCTGTAAGTTAATAATGATAATCTAATAAATCAATTATATTTATGTAAATCAAGTATTAGACAATTAAAATCTGATCTTTAAAGTGGATTTCAGTTAAGATGGAGGAGAGGCAGATGCTACTCATAATGCTCATTACAGTTTCAGGTAAATATGTTTTTTTTTTTAATCACAATTAATTATATTTTTTGAATCAATTAATTTAAACTAATATTACTTTTATTGACAAAATAACTTCATTATACATCAGGGTATTTAAAAATATGATTCACTGCGTTTCAGGTGGATTTGCTGATAGAATTGGACCAAGTGAAGGAGATACTAATATAATCAGAAAAGAAGGAGAGTCTGTGACACTGAGCTGCACATTTGAAACTAACAGCAATGATATTTGGCTTTACTGGTACAGACAATATCCAAACAGAGAACCAGAATATTTATTTTACAAAGGTGCTCGATCAAGGAGCAGGCAGGAAGATATACCAGATGGGTTTCAATCAACTACATCCCAGACATCCACTGAACTCATTATTAACAGTTTAACTCTGACGGATTCAGCTCTCTATTACTGTGCTCTTCTAGTAGCCCAGTGATACAAAATGCCTGAGAGGCTTTACAAAAACTCACATGAATTTAATGCTTTGAAGAGTATCTAATACAATCAGTATCAAAACACATCATGTTTTTATATACCACAAACAAAGAATGTGGTAACAGCTGTGAATTTGGGAGGTTAAAAAGGTTGTGTAAGGGCATGTGAATATAATATGCATCACATGGTTTCATATGATCACTATTATATATTTTTTTCTCCTTTTATGCTGTATAAATTCTTATGGATATCATTTAAAATGATCTGAAATCAATTAAATCCTTGTAAAACAACAACAAATCAACACACACACACACACACACACACAAATCCACATCACTTTCTTACAAGAGGCTTCTTAGATTAATCAGTATATTTGACTTTACTAAAATGAAGGTCTAAATACTTTTATGGCTATAATGAAAAATATTATTTAGTTGCTAAGTTATCATCATAAACACATTTAGAATCAGAGATCACAGATCTAAGATCAGATGATCTGCTTCATAAATTCAATGAATAATGAATAATAAATAATGCCTTGGGGTGTTTTATTTTCTTTGCTCTGCTCTCTTTCATTTCGACCATTCTTTCATTTCATTTTTTTAAATCTGTTAATTTGTAAGTCTTTTCGTCATGAGATTAAAAGATGTCAATTTTAGAAATGTCATCACACCAGTTGAAACTCATATGTTATAGACAGAAGGGGACGTTATAAATCTTTCATGTAGTTACTCCTCAGCAGGAAATTTACTTAGCTTCTGGCTTCGTATATATGGACCGTCTGCTGTGAATGAGCAAAATCATGACAGGCAGAACGTGCCTCATAAATCTTTGATTGGCTAAAACAAGGTGTGGTTTGTTCAAAAACTAGAGGGGCGATATTTGACTGAGAAATGTAGACAACGTAGAAATACAGTCTAATTCATATAAAATGACAGTACAAATACAGAAAATAACCTCCATGGCAGATCACACCCAGGGTTGATCAAGACACCTCTGCTCAATTTTAGACTTAATATTTATTTAGCTATATATATGTATGTGTGTGTGTGTGTGTGTGTGTGTGTGTATACTGTACAAAACTGTACTGTATACTGTACTATATATACTGTACAAAACTCTGCCTACTGTCATTAGGTAAGGGAAAATGTACAGTCAGCCAGTCATCACTGTAAACTAAACCTTGACGGTGATCAACAGGACCCAAGAACAGAGCGTCAGGATTATAATGAGATAATTATAATTTATAAATTATTTTAGAAATAATTATAAATTATTTAGATTTGATGCATATTTTATATGAGTCTATGAAGCATGCAAACATTTCATTAGCCAGTTTAGTGCAAATACACATAAGGGTGATTTAGAATAATATAGTATATTTTACTGTGTATATAAACAAACACACCAGACAAATATCAGTGTTTCCAAGTTTTACCAGTAGAGTACAACATTTTAAAATGCACTTTAAACATACAATTGACTGTTGTAGTACTTGTTAAGACACCTTGTGTTATCCTCCTAATGGTTTTTGCTGTTTTTAAGTGATGGTTGAGATGTTTTAAATTCAAGTGCAGGAATTGTCACAGTTTGGTGTTGAAGTTTGCTGTAAAAGATTCAAAAGGATGACTGTGTTTTAATGGGAGTGCAGGTTTTAGGGGAGGTTCTATCTGCAGACATCCTCTGCTACACAGTGAGGGTTTGCTGTCTAACATTCTGTGCAGCAAATGAACTAATCCACTGCAAAATGGTGCTCATCTCTTTACTTTTGTTCTGTACTCTTGCATGTAAGAATTTTATATTTATTTTCTTATATTATTATACAATGGAATGGAGCTAATATGATTAAATCTGTTTCACAGGGGTGAGTTTTGGGAATGTCATCACACCAGTCCAGCCTGAGGTGTTTGGGACAGAGGGGGACAATATAACTCTGTCCTGTAACTACTCTTCAGCAGTTAGTCTGCAGTGGTATCGCCAATATCCAAACTCAGCTCCTGAATACCTTTTGATAATACTACAAGGGACAGGGAAAGTTTCACAGAAGTCTAAAATTGTAGAGCAAGATCCTCGATTCTCTGGAAAAGTGAATGAAAAGAAAACCCATGTGGATCTGGAGATCTCCTCTGCTAAAGTGACAGACTCTGCTCTGTACTACTGCGCCCTGGAGCCCACAGTGACAGGAAACACAACGACACTGTACAAAAACCTGACTTATGTTAATCATCCAGTGGGTTAATTGTTAATCATCCAGGAAATTCCTGAAGACATTTGTTTGTGTTAGCTTAAAATAAATTAACCAATAAAAATAAAAATAAAAATCAGTAACTTGTTAAAGAAAAACATTTCTCATGTTTTGATATATCCTTTAAGGTCGTTTTCTGTAGAATAGAATTATATGTGAGAATGCATTTTGTCTATACTTCAAATCAAAAAAAGTAAAAGTGGCTTAAGCATATTTACCATTCAAGAAAGCACATTATTTCATATAGTTCTGAGCTCCAACAGAAGGGGGCAACATAATCTCACAAATTATGTTTCACAAGCATTTCCCTGATGTTCTCCAATGCTGATTGAGAAGTGCTATCAATATTTCATTTCAAACACTGAATGTAGTGTTTAGTAATGATTATTAATAATACCTTGGTGAAAGTATATTTCACATGCTCCGTTTAATTATGATAAAGCAAATTCATTAGATTAGATCTGTTTGAAATGCAGTTAGATGGTAAGGGTAAATAACTTGTGATATACAGAAGTGCACAGAGCATGTTCTGTGTTTCTCTGACGACACCCACATTATTAGTACACAATAAAACTTCACTGAGTTCTGACTATTCAGTCACCCATTAGCTACTCTCACATTTTTATTCATTTTATAAAGCCACATTCAGCATATTTCATTAGTTACAACTCTCCAAAAATCAGTTCAATAATACAATAAACTAAAACATTTTTCTTAAAATATTTAAAGCTGACTTTAAATCAGAGGAAATGGAGAAGAGACAAATTATACTCCACTTCTCACAGCTTCAGGTACTTGACAACTACAGTAATTTACAACTTACACTAATTCTGTATTAGATCATGATACATGTAATATTATGTGATTCAAAATGCCAGAGAAGTTTTACAAAAATTCACACGAAATTAATGCTTTGAAGAGTCTTTAATCAATCAGCATAAAAAAACATCATGTTTTTATAAACCACAACTGCACAGAGCATGTTCTGTGTTTCTCTGACGACACCCACATTATTAGTACACAATAAAACTTCACTGAGTTCTGACTATTCAGTCACCCATTAGCTACTCTCACATTTTTATTCATTTTATAAAGCCACATTCAGCATATTTCATTAGTTACAACTCTCCAAAAATCAGTTCAATAATACAATAAACTAAAACATTTTTCTTAAAATATTTAAAGCTGACTTTAAATCAGAGGAAATGGAGAAGAGACAAATTATACTCCACTTCTCACAGCTTCAGGTACTTGACAACTACAGTAATTTACAACTTACACTAATTCTGTATTAGATCATGATACATGTAATATTATGTGATTCAAAATGCCAGATAAGTTTTACAAAAATTCACACGAAATTAATGCTTTGAAGAGTCTTTAATCAATCAGCATAAAAAAACATCATGTTTTTATAAACCACAACCAGGGAATGTGTTAACAGCTGTGAATTTGGGAGGTAAAAAGGGTTACATAAGGGCATGTGAATACAATTTAGCATGTATTGCATATTCTTCTCATGTCAGCTTGTTTGTTAGGTTATCTCTTTTCTCATATTATGCTGTACAAGAAGTCTCATTAAAACTACAGAAACTCACATGTATGAACAAAATGGTAATACAATATTGGCAATGAGCTGCAAAATGAAGAACAAAAAAGGATTATCAAAAAACAAAGAATTAAAAGAAATAAGTATATATTTATTTATATATATAACAGCAAGGAATATTCAGTTTATCTCTTTTTTAGGTGTTTCAGATTTAATGTCAGGTCAGGAGGAGGAGTTTAGCACAGACACTATACAGCATACAGCTGGGTAAAGATGAACATCACTCAACAGTGTGTGGAGCAGCTGCTCTGTTTTTAGCTTGTTCTTACTAGTTCAGTGAGTGAACATGTTGATCTATATTATTATACTGCTGTCATCAACTGAAGGTATAATATTGTAAAAAAAATTATTCCAACAGAAGTGTTTAAAAACTGCATTTAACAGCACTTTTATCTGCAGGTTCCAGAGCCTCAGAAGTCATCACTCCAAAAAGTGACAGAGAATTTGCTCTTGAGGGTGACAATGTGACACTCTCCTGTAACTACAGCGGTTCTGCTCGAGGTGTTCACTGGTATCGGCAATATGCAGGATCACCACCACAGTTCCTCATACTGGAAGATTCAGGGGTTACAACTCCAGCTATTCCACCCGTTCCAGGAATAACCATCAATCACAGAAAAACAGAAAGCCATGTGGATCTGATCATCTCCTCTGCTAAAGTGTCAGACTCTGCTCTGTACTACTGTGCTCTGAGGCCCACAGTCACAGGAAACCCTATAACACTGTACAGAAACAGTTTTCATATGCTTATCAAGCCTTGATAGAAATGTACAAACCATAGCTGGACTCAACAGCACAAAGGTCAAAAAGAGAGAGAGAAAGAGACAGTGTACAACTGCTAATGAAATTAACTTATTGTTAAGTAAGCTGACTTTACTCTGTGATGTACTACTGTGCTCTGGAGCCCACAGTGACAGGAAAACAAACTACACTGTACAAAAACCTCACTGTATTTCAGGAAAGTATTAAAGCATGCAGGATATTTCTAATGACATTTTATTACATACAGTATATTCATGTTTATTTTATACAATGTTATAAAATAAAATTGATAGCATTAAATAGTCTTCATTTTAAACTAATTGTAAGCAACAAAAGCTTCAAATCTGAATAATTATTGTTATAGAACCCTTATTTCGTGTCTAACATGTAAAATCTATATCATGTTAATGTTTAAGATTATCCCCATAAAATATGCCACTGAAATATGTTGTTGCTTGTCATTTATCTAGCTAGCTATCTATATCTAATTATTAATATTCTTTATTTTTATTCAATATGTGGGATTGTGTTATAAATATTGTGTGAGATGAGGGCTGGATGTTGTCAATCTGAGTAGGAGGAGTTTAGCACAGATGTTCTACATTAGGACTGTCAGCATTTCACAAGTCTCTTTAGATCATCTGATGTTTGTCTCCTCTTCACACCTGATTATTGTGCCAAAATGTTAATCTATTTAATTATATTACTATCATCAGCTCAAGGTAGGATATTGCCGCATTTGCTGAAACATTCTTAAAAGCGGGATGAAAATCTTTTAGGATGAAAACATTAATTTGCTGTTGAGGGTGACAGTGTGACACTCTCTTGTAGCTACACTGGTTCTGTTCGAGGTCTTCACTGGTATCGTCAATACTCAGGTTCACCACCAAAGTTCCTCATAATGGATTATTATGGGACAGTTACTGAAGCTGATCCTCCAGTTGCTGGAGTCTCAATCTATCACAGAAAAGACAACAGTAGTGTGGATCTGAAGATCTCCTCTGCTGCTGTCACTGACTCCGCTCTCTACTACTGTGCTTTGGAGCCCACAGTGAAAGGAAATCTACTGCATGCTGTCCAAAAAGCTCTTTAAATAAGACTGAAAGCAAGAGATGGAGATTAGGGTTTATGTTTTTAATAAATCACACAGATACAGTATGTCTTATAAAGTTAGTAGATGCTTAAGAAACAGTCATAAAATGTTCTGTGGCTGAAAGTGGAAGACATATTATCACTTTTATAAGGACATAAAATATGTTTTATGCATGAGCACAATAATTAAATGATTGGGTAACACTTTATTTTGATGGTCCCTTTTGAACATTCTGTTGACAATAATTAATGTTGCACCTACATATCTACTAACTCTCATTAGAGTATTAGTAGACTGTCTGCTTAATATCAGCTAACTCTTTATTGAGATGTATCCCCACAGAGTTTCTACTGACTACAACTAACTTTGCAAGTACGTCAACTTATTCTAGCCCTAACCCTACCAGTCTACTAATACTCTACTAACACTCTAATGAGAGTTAGTAAACATGAAGGTGCAATGTTACTTATAGTCAACAGAACGTGTTAAAGGGACCATCAAAATAAAGTGAAACCAATGATTGTGATTACAATTAAATGTAAATAAAAGTAACTTAAACACATTTACCATTTTAGATGGCACAATTAAAAGCACACTGTAAAGCAATTGGACAAAACATGCTGTTCTGAGCTCCAACAGAAGGGGGCAACATTATTTCACAAGCTGTTTTATTCACACTAAACAAGCACCTGATGTTTATAAGAAACACATTTGAAAGCACAGAACATATTTCATATTTCACTATCCCACAGCCACATTATTCGAACACAACTTAACTCAGTTCTCAGTGCTCTTTCAACCATCAGCTATACTCTCGTATTTTAGAAAGCCACATTCAGCATGAAGTGGAACCAATAAATTAATAAAGTGGAATCCATAAATTAATAATTATAATCTAATGAATCAATTTAATAAGTACTACACGCTAAAAATCTGATCTTTAAAGTGGACTTCGGTTAAGATGGAGAGGCAGATGATATTTATAATGCTCATCACAGTTTCAGGTAAATATACTTTTAATCACAATTATTAATTAATTACATTTTGTGAATCAGTCAATTTAATCTGATATCATTTTTATTGAAAACAAACAAAAAAACTTTATTACATCAGAGCATTTTAAAATATGATTCACTGCGTTTCAGGTGGATTTGCTGATAGAATTGGACCAAGTGAAGGAGATACTAATATAATCAGAGAAGAAGGAGAGTCTGTGACACTGAGCTGCACATTTGAAACTAACAGCAATGATATTTGGCTTTACTGGTACAGACAATATCCAAACAGAGAACCAGAATATATACTGTATAAAGGTGCTCGATCAAGGAGCGATGAGGAAGATATACCAGATGGGTTTCAATCAACTACATCCCAGACATCCACTGAACTCATTATTAACAGCGTAACTCTGACGGATTCAGCTCTCTATTACTGTGCTCTTCTAGTAGCCCAGTGATACAAAATACCAGAGAAGCTTTACAAAAACTCACATGAAATTAATGCTTTGAAGAGTATTTAATACAATCAGTATCAAAACACATCATGTTTTTATAAACCACAAACAGAGAATGTGGTAACAGCTGTGAATTTGGGAGGTTAAAATAAAGCTTGAATAAGAGCATGTGAATACAATATAGCATGCATATCATGGTTTCACATTATAACTTTTATATATATTTTTTCTCATTTTATGTTGTATAAATTCCTAAGGAAATAATTTAAACTGCTCTGAAATCAATTAAATCCTTGTAGAACAACAACAAAACAGCACACACACACACACACAAAAAACTTATTTATATTCATGATTATGAATTTTGTTCTTCAGGTGTCACTTTTATGAATGTAATCGCTAGTCTGAACAATAAAAAGGAGCAAATAAATAAAGGTTAAACAATAAAAAAAACATTACATAAAAATATGAACAACACTTTCTCACACAGGCTTCTTAGATTAATCAGTATATTTGACTTTACTAAAATGTACTAAACTAAAATGTTTACTAAAATCTAAATAAGTTTAAGGCTATGATGAAAAATATTACAGATCTAGGATCAGAGAGGGATGAGGAAACAGTAAAAGTAGCTCAGACATATTTACCATTCAAGAAAGCACATTATTTCATATAGTTCTGAGCTCCAACAGAAGGGGGCAACATAATCTCACAAATTATGTTTCACAAGCATTTCCCTGATGTTCTCCAATGATGATTGAGAAGTGCTATCAACATTTCATTGCAGAGAAAGCTGTGAATTTGGGAGGTAAAAGGGTTACATAAGGACATACAAATACAATTTAGGATGCATTGCATATTTTTGTCATGTTAGCTTGTTTGTTAGGTTATCTCTTTTCTCATATTATGCTGTATAAGTCTCATTAAAACTACAGAAACTCACATGTATGAACAAAATGGTAATACAATATTGGCAATGAGCTGCAAAATGAAGAACAAAAAAGGATTATCAAAAAACAAAGAATTAAAAGAAACAAGTATTTAAACAGCAAGGAATATTCAGTTTATCTCTTTTTTAAGTGTTTCAGATTTAATGTCAGGTCAGGAGGAGGAGTTTAGCACAGACACTATACAGCATACAGCTGGGTAAAGATGAACATCACTCAACACTGTGTGGAGCAGCTGCTCTGTTTTTAGCTTGTTCTTACTAGTTCAGTGAGTGAACATGTTGATCTATATTATTATACTGCTGTCATCAACTGAAGGTATAATGTTGTAAAAAATAAAAGCATTTTATTCCAACAGAAGTGTTTAAAAACTGCATTTAACAGCACTTTTATCTGCAGGTTCCAGAGCCTCAGAAGTCATCACTCCAAAAAGTGACAGAGAATTTGCTCTTGAGGGTGACAATGTGACACTCTCCTGTAACTACAGCGCTGCTGCTCGTGGTGTTCACTGGTATCGGCAATACGCAGGATCACCACCACAGTTCCTCATACTGGAAGATTCAGGGGTTACAACTCCAGCTATTCCACCCGTTCCAGGAATAACCATCAATCACAGAAAAACAGAAAGCCATGTGGATCTGATCATCTCCTCTGCTAAAGTGTCAGACTCTGCTCTGTACTACTGTGCTCTGCAGCCCACAGTCACAGGAAACCCTATAACACTGTACAGAAACAGTTTTCATATGCTTATCAAGCCTTGATAGAAATGTACAAACCATAGCTGGACTCAACAGCACAAAGGTCAAAAAGAGAGAGAGAAAGAGACAGTGTACAACTGCTAATGAAATTAACTTATTGTTAAGTAAGCTGACTTTACTTGCATAGACAGTAAGTAACTCTGAAGGGACCCTCTGAAAATCTTCCATAGAGATCCTAAATAATGCAACTACTAGAATAAACTGAACAGTTGGTTTCAGTCAGTTACAGTACATCAACCATTAAAATATATACAACTCAGAACATCTGTAATATTGTTATAGGCCTAAATGCACTGTCTAACAGATCTTTTTTAACTAAACTGCTACATATACTGTACCTGCAACAGCTATTAAATATAACAACTGTGTGCTTTGTTAAATGGATAAACTGATAAAATATTAAAAACAAATAAAAGTTCTTACAAAAGACATCTGATTAAAAAAGTATTGTATATTGGTCTTTGCTAAAATGTCAAAAAATTTGAAATAATTATATGGTAAATGATCACCACGAAAACATCCACCATAGGTTCAGAGAGAGATGATTTGCTTCACGAATTCAGGGCTGTAGTTTTAAGGGGAGGTGCAAGAGACAACCTCTGCTATTCAATGAATGAATGTTACTTCAGTAACAGTTGGTCCTGTAGATGAACCTAAACATCATCCTGAAAATGATGCTGTTTGTTTTGGCTTTGTTCTGTTGTCTTGCATGTCGGTATCTAATTTCAACTCTCAAACCCTACGTTTC